TTTGGTCCCAGCCACTGCTAAGCCTCACAGGCCTTCAAGACTCACCTGTCCCACTGGTCCTTGCTACCTGGCCGAGTCCCGAAGCTGCGCTCCACCAAGAAAACCTGCCACGGAGAAATGCCTTGAAATAGCAACTCTTCTGGTTCATCCTTCCTCTCCCGCACCCCCATTAGTCACATCACCATGGCAGCGAGAGCCTTATGAAAACACAGTCAGATCCATGCACCTGAACTGTCCTGTTCATCCTAATGACTGTCACAGTCATGGTGCTTTCCATGTGGCTCATCAGCAGTTCAACAATAAGCCAGGCCAGGCAATGCAAGCTACAAGAGGAGTCATGGGACTTTGGAAGTTTTACTCCCCGAGACCCCACATCCTTCTAGCTTCTTGCAGGCATCCCTCAGTGCCCTGCATGAGAAATCATAGAGCAGCTGCGGGGTAAAACATTGCACCATGGGATGGGGATTTGCACAGAGGCAGCGTGGTTATTTCGAACCAGGGCAGAGCTAGGCAGATGCAATGATTAGCTAGAACCTGGAGTTTCCGTAACAGTGGTCTGAACGCATGGATGCACCTGACCTTCCATGTACCTGCACGTCGATGAAGCAGTCGAAGGAGGTGCAATATTCCGGGGTAGATTCTGAATTATTCCATCAGCTCCTGGTTCTCCACTCAGCTTATGTTGCTTGAAAAGGGATGTAAGCTAAAGCAAGGGAAGTCACTCTGATCCCTATATGGGATTTATACCTTGGGATTTATATTAGCAAAACTTTTGCATCTAGACACATCCTAATCGCATTTTTTTTTTCCATGGGGTTTTCCTTGCTCTGTTGCTCTCTGGCTGTTAAAGGGGCAATCAGTTCCCAAGCGCTCTGGTGGGGAGTGGGCGCAGGAGTGCTTTATAACAGCTATTATTGTTTAATATTATTATTAGGGGCTCCTCCTTCCTCCCTGACCCTTCTCTTCTTTCTTAAGGAAGGAAACCAACAATCCTTACCCATTTCAGCCCAAAGCCCAGGCCTGGGTCAGCCCTGAAATGGATGAGACTGGGGTGTTACTGCAAGTGCTTATTTATAAGTGTACGACTTTGCAGCTCTGTGTAAGTCAAAGAGTGCAACTTTCTGCACATGCATGTGTGGATGTGCACGTGTGTGTGAGACAGAGAGTCTGCATAGCTGACTGCATGTGTGACAGACTGCAAATACGTCCACACAACACAATCCGAATGAATGTGAACATATGCATTGGAGGTGTTTTCATCCAAGACTGCACATGGGCGCACATGTAGGGCAACCCACGTGCACATATGAGTGAGGGGTGAGCACATCTGTATCCGTGTGTGTGTGTGTGTGTGTGTAGGGTGACATACCAGTCCTACCCCTCCTGAGGAAGACTCCCAGCAGGAGCTCTAAGAAAGGATGCAGATTTGACAGCCGGGTGTCACCCAAGGCCGGCAGGGGTAGGTTTGTGCCATGGCAGAGAGGAGGGGAGGAGGTCTCAGAGCAGGGGAGAGGAGTGCTGTGCCTTTAAAGAAAGAGGGCGAGCAGCAGCAGGAGGAGGAGAATGCAAAATTGGCCCAGTAGGTAGAACTGCTATTTAAGTGCAGTTGAGAAAAGAGTATAAGGAATTATAGCATAGATGATAGTGCCCTGACAGCTGCCATTTGCTGCTGCTAGTCGCTCCTAATGGAGTTCTAATGTAGTGGGCTCTTCATTGACAGTCAAGCCCAGAGATAGGGGGGCGCGTCTTTGTGTTTGTGACAGATGGGACAGTCCGGCAACAAACCTGTAATCCTTTGATTTCTGCTGGTGCTGGCTGTACTTAACCCCTTCCTCCCTGAACAAGGTGGTGCCCAGCCTCCAGCCCTCCAGACAGGCTCCGGATTGGAAGAGGGCCACGGTGGGGGTGCACTGGACCACAATCAAGGCAGGGTTGTTGTTTTTTACCAGCGTAAGTGAGGTGTCCTGCTTCTCCCAGCCCGCTGGGGGTGGCGCGGGGGGCTCGGAGCTGAGCCTCAATGCGCTGTGTGCGAATGACTGTTTATCATGCGCTGCAGCTAATCCTTGCCTACATGCATCAGGCCACCTAGACAGCCAAAACAAGCCTTTACAAATGCCTCTGTGCCCCTGGTCTGTGCATCTGTGCCCCTCACCTGCTCCATTCTCCTCCTACCCATGCCACCCCTGCTACCTAGTGGATTTGGGCACTCGAATGCTAATGAAATGGGAGGCTCTGAAACTCCTGCGCTTTGTCCTTTGCTGCCAGATGCTAACGCAAATCATGCTTCTGCCTGTCCATCGTACCCTTCAGCTCAGGAGCTGGAGACATTTCACAAATACTACAGAATCGAGTCTCACACCTGTACAGGTGAGCAGAGAGCAGCGGGCCCTGAAACTGGAAACTGAGGCACTGAAAGATCAGGGTCTCATTGATGTAGTGGGAACGAAGTACCTCTCCACACAAGAGGGTGAGGCCAACATTTTCCAACATTTCGGGGGACCATCCTGAGACACACACATCTCAGGCCTCACTAGTGCTGATCACCCATGATCCTTGTCAATTCAGGCTCTCAGCACCAACATGTGTCCTGCTTTAGAGGCCAGATTTTCCCAAGAGCTCCAACTCCCTGCTGGTACCTAAGCAAGGAGCTGAATTTTCAGAAGAGTTCACTGTGCCGGGGACATGTTAGGTGCTGAGATCTTTCCGAAACTCGACCTGATGTATCTCCAGTTGGGCTCCCAATAAAAGAAAACAACTTGCCACCGTGGCCGATCTAGTTCTGAAGAACCTGGCCAGCTGCTGCACGGTGAATCAGCGGCAGAAGCAAGCTCAGGACCAAGAAGACCTGATTTTTCTGGTCTCTTATTCCCATCATGCACACAAACAGCCTAGCCCCCAGCGAATGCAGGGGGACCTTGGGCTGGGAAACAGCAGCAGATGCTTGCTTTAATTACAAAATCAAACTGAGATGCAGCTTCCTTAAAAGAAAACTGCAACCCTCCCCCCTGCCCTTTTCTTCCCTCTCTCTTTTTTCCTTAAATTGTCTCCTCACTGTGTTCAGATGACATTACAACACCCCCTTCCAATGGCTGGTGAGTGCCAAGCCAGGTGTGTTCGCTGTCAGCAGAGGTACCCTCAATGGGATATTTCTGGGCTGCATTCCCAGTGCAGTTTGCTGCAGCGTCGCAATGCCTGGGAGTTTAGCTCACTGGCTCTCACACGGCCTCCGCTGGCTGTATTTTTTATTGGCCTTTTCAGCTTGGTGTTTCATTTTGCTTTAAAATTAACAAATTGGGCCTGATTCCTTGCAGTGGTTCAAAAGAGCTTAGCTTTGAACCACCCCAAAAAGGCCAGCGCTGCCTTGGCTGCACATAGCTCCAGTGTCTCACCCCCTACCGGTGGTTTTTGTGCTTGGAAGGCAGCCAGCGCTGTCTGCGAAGGGTCTTTACCATGAACGGGAGATGCTCAGTCAACTACAACGAATCCCAATTTGGGGGAAAAATTGTCTCTTGGGAGAAGAAATCAATGCTTCTCCTGTGCGCACATCTGTGTATTTAAAGGAAAGGCAGAACCGAGGATGGCTGCCAAGGATCCGCTCTAGAAACTGAAATCCACTCCTTAACTACAGAGTAGGCCGAGTGTGAAGGGCAGTAGCAGCACGGGACTTCCCCTGCCAATATGGCTGGACACTGCCTGGGAGCATGAGAGGGCCACCGCATCCGAGGAGAGAGAAGCCTGATCCCTGGACTGGTTCGCCTCTTGGTTTCTCCACTGAGACTACATACAAGGGAGTCAGCAGAGACGGGGAGATCTTGGCCATCTGGATGCATGTCCATGAAGAATGGGTCCAAGACCACAGGCTTATCCAAGCGTTGGCCATCAAACATCCCAAGAGCTGTCCCTCACCTGGAGTGGGTTTGCTTCATAGACCATTCTGGGCCCGACTGTCCCCCTGGCACGGCTCTATGAGCGATCGTGGTGCTTGGGC